AAAAATTTTGTTCAATGCTGAACAACAGAAAATTTTATTTTCAGGCTTGCCCATCAACACGAGTAAAAGGAGCACCAGGAGCGCCAGGGAGAGATGGACGGAGAGGAAAACAAGGAGGAAGAGGACCGCCGGGTCCTGAAGGACCAGCAGGAGACAAAGGTGATCCTGGGGAATCAGGACCTCGAGGTGTGCCGGGACAGCAAGGAGGATTTGGAGAACCGGGAGACGGGGGTGATGCGGGACTCCGGGGTCCAAGAGGAATGGATATGGCGGGAGGATAAAAATAACTATAACGGAACCGATCGGCAATAACGAAGCACTCCTCCAATGATATCATCGCTTCTCCAATTTGTGTTGTTTTTGGTTGCCCCAACGTGTCGAATTTAGTGAAACTGCTACAAAACAATATATGTTTTTATGTGCAACGCTCGAACTCTCAAACGATTTAGAATTTACGAAAACAATATGGTTTTGCTGCACTCTTGCATTAAAAAATTAATTTCTTTCGTAGTCAGCTTGTAATTTCAGTGGATTTGCTAATTTCTTCAGCATGCAATGTACTTTCCGGTAATATATCATGACTATTAATGAATGACCAATAAAGAGTCTCCTTTGAGACATGCAATTGGATAATTTTTTTGAATATCTGGAATTCTTTGCAGATGCACTGCATCATCAAACCTGTTGTGAAAATGTCGCAGATTGATTATTGTTGATTTACAGATAAATTATTTGTCAGCATTATTTTATTGTTAGGAATTTTATCAAGACAATTGTACTATCAAAAAATGAAATGATTAGCAGTTGATTTGATGATAGTTGCAAGTAAAGCCGAATAAGCGTTCAGACGTTGAAATGAGTGGATGGGAGCCTGTAGTGTATTTGACTGTTTATATACCCAATATTGGGCGATATCATAATAACAGATAATGGGCGTAATAGGCAACCCCAAGGTCAGACAGTGCTATGTTGGGGAAAGAAAAAGCAATGGAAAGAGCGATGATTGTATAATTACTTATTAGTTACATTGTTTTCACGTGAAAGGCAAAGAACAATCATAGGACAAAGGCATTACAAGGCAATCTTTTAATAATAGCATAGCACACAAAGAGGTCATACAACAAGAAATTAAATTTAAGAAAAATTATGAAAACAGCTTCCATAGCTAAACTGTCAGTGGTACAAATTTCGATCAATGTGAATTCAATATCATAAAATTTCGAATTTTCCGACAAAATCTATTTTAGAATCTTTTCCATAATTCACCTAATATGGTCAGTGGTAGTCGAGGCAAACTCACAGTTAAATGATATGCCTCCTGACGGCGAATTAATTCACCCTTAGGTAGCCTTAGTTTAGGTGTTGAAATACTAAGAGTAATTTGTATACACAGTTAAAGTTATTATGCTTTTTTTTCCTTCAATTATTAATTTTAAAATACTTCTTTTGTCATCGACCGTTTGAGTGAAACTCGTTCATGATGTTATAGCCGATCTCGAGAGCCCAAAAATACAGCTCGAAGGGCATTATTTTTTCGTTGATAATTTTTTCTTTGGTTTCGCACTGTTGATTGGGTGATACTGGGATAGCGGACAATGAGCTTAACAGATAACTACGGGGTCAGACAATGTGTTGGGGAAGGATGAAGTGATGAGAACAAAGGGGATTGTTTGATTATTCACTGGCTACACTTGTAGTTATACATAAAGACAAAGGCGTATAAACCCAATAACTTCTCAATGATATTATAGCAACACAACGAGACAGGAAACTAAATTTAACAAAGACAAAATTGTGAGGCACAACTTCCTCAGTCTGTCAGTGATACAAATCTCAGTTCACGTGAATAATTTCTTTCCGACAAGTGTCTTATTTTTTCTAATTCTCGCGGGTTCATCCTGTAACGGTTATATATTTGTCTCAAAGGTTAAGCATACTAAATTCAAATTCGGATAAAGTTCTACTGATGAAACCGCAAACGTTTCAATATGGCAGCTATAATGATCCATCGTGGATAACTGTGACAATTCTAAAGCTAATATATGCACCAAACTCCGATTTTTGAATGAATGCATCTATTGGATTAAAAGCAATAAATATGATTATCCTCAGCAAACCGACAAAATGAATGAGAAAAATATGGGAGCAATGATCCTGTACAGATAAGGAGAAGCCTGAACCATAAACTGGAATGCACACTTCCGATTGAAATGTATAGCTCAGCAAAGAGCGCCGGAAATACCGAAATTAGACCCACTGTACCCTTAAGGAGCTCAGCTTGATTTAAGAGAAAAGGATCAACTCGACAGACGAAAACAGCTGCAAAGAAGATTGGAAAAAGAAAAACAGCCGTCAACTGTTACAACACTGATGTGAAATAGCAGAAAAAAAGGAGAGAGATTGTATATAAGGAGCCGTAACATTCAATTACCTGTGTTGAAAAAATCAAAACAGTCGAATAATTATAAAGTGGGATGACAGTATTTCAACAACAGACTGAAACACAAGCCAAATGTAATATAATACTTAGGATGCCATAAATTCCTGCGTTTCATCTATCTCATATATAAAAAGGATTGAATTCTTGAATCGTTAATTTTTTCGAATTTTTTAGTTTTGTATGTAAAAACCTTCATGATAACTTCTAAGGTAAATTGATCAGTCATACTGTTCCTGGTCGATGGTTGCGAGAAAGCTAAACGAAGTTTGTTGTAGGAGAAGCAATTTGAGATGTGATACCAATTTGAGACCGCACCTCGATGGTTACCCTTCGGGAGCAGCACACCTGCACACCATCCAAGAGGAAACATGAACATATATAATGTATAGTGGGCAGGACTGAAGAGAAAATCGATGGATATCCCTCATTAGTAGATCAGTACAGGAGGATATACAGTAGGTAATGCCACGGTTTGACAGGACTGAGCCAGAAGACAGAGCAGCACTCATGTATTCATTGTTACATGAGAAAGAAAGAGAGAGAGATCATAAGCGCGGGAAATGTTGACAGAGGTCGCTGAATGGCATACTACCACAACAGATTACAAATTGTACTGATAAATTCCCTCTCATCTGAATGTCAATTATACAAATCTCTATT